ACTGTTGGGCCACCAAGATCATCTTATTTGGACTATTATATGTACTTATATATTATTTATATGTAAAATCTACAAACCGCTTATAACACGACCACCCCTTTTTTTCTATATCTATGACGACCACCCATTCGTAAAGCAGATTCCCATGAGAAGAAATATTGAAATATTAGTTGGTATAGCGTCTGGCACGGTATGCAAGAAGACGTCGGTTCGAATCCGACCGGATCGAAGGAATTTTTTCTGAGTGTTTTTTCTGAGTGTTCGATCTTTGTATTAATAATTATAAAAAATATTGACTTTACTTAGCACATACGAAGTTCTATATTGTATTGTTATTTGCAAGTTCGCCCTAAGCAGTCCGATGTCGCTCAGCCAATGTTTGCCTTTCAAAGAAATATACCTTATTGTTGAGAAGCCTAGCCACATTTTGTAGTGCCCGTGGTGGCACAAACTGTTGACGTCAGGCTACGCCGCGCTGCACCGCGGGACACAAAGACATACCCACTTTATTTAGTAGAAATGAAACTATACTGTATTGCATATTCCGCCCACAGCCGCTTGCAGCAGTATTGTTTTCAAGAAAATAGAAAACAAAGAAAATAAAACAACCACTGGTCCAGAAAACATCGCAAATATTTGCTCTCGTGACGACGGCGACGAACCACTTGTTCTCGCTATTTAAATTTTGACGCTTTTTAATGTTAACGATTTAGTTAATAAACTACCTATTTTAATGTATACTTATTTAACCTCGCGAAGTACATATCTTTATACTGTACTTCTTATTGTTGGCGTTTTCATCAGTTAAAACCAAATTAGTCGTATTGGTCGTAATCACTTTTATTTTTTTATTATTATTAATCTAAGTGTTTATTTACGTATTGTATAAAACAAATTGAATAAATAATACATAGAAGTAATACTTTCAAGACGCATAATTAGTTAGTAAATTAATTATGCATTAAAATATATTAAATGCATATTAAATAAATTAAATGCATTTAACAAACGTCACTTTTACTAATTAATCACACGCATAATTAATTAGTAAATTATTTAAAATATAGCGAATAAAAGTATTTGTTTTAATTTTACTATTCTTTTCTACTTCTCCTTTATAGTTGAAAATAGTAGTATTATTTGTTAATGGATACTTTCACTATTTATGCTATTACGATTTTGACCCTAAAATATTATGTAATGTTTATTTTTACGATGGTTTATTCTCGAATGTCTCTGAGGGAACAACAACGTAGGTATAGACTGTAAAAAAACACTTAAGACTCCTCTGTATTCTAATTTACAACTTATCTTTATTTGATTTGACTGTTCAAGCCTTAACCTCACGCATAGCACCTTTGTATCTTCGTACTAACACACATTTACGACCATTGTAGAACCTATAGCGTATAAATCGGTGCCCTATTTGGGAGTCAACGGCGCTGTAGCCGCTTATACATCTTCTATAGAACTTCTTAATGCAGCCTATGCCGTTATTAACAACTTATAACTGGCTATTTTACGGCTTGTGATTAGAGCTTGTGTGCTAGTTGGGCTGGCTCAGAGCGTTCAAAATCTGACTGACACTAGACTATGCAGATGTATGCTACCGGATTTTATAGTCACCGTGCTCAATAAATTCGATATGCGGCAATATATGATGTGTGTAAAGAAAGAAGGTAAACTTCAGATTTCGTAAATGATCATGTCTCATGACAACTTAGGTTAATGGCTACTCGGTCACGTGCATAGAAGATCTTCACATCCTTTCCCTGCTTTACTCCACAGTATTTTATTTACGGCTCTTTACCATGAAAATTATTTCTTTTTCACAATTATTATGGACTTGCACCAATCTTTTGTACCATGCCCTGCCTCCAGCTCATATTAAAAAGGCGGTGCAGCATACTCACTATTAAGCCTCCTCCAACATTTCTACCGATATTCTATCACAAACTGCCGCCTTTCCCGCTTTCACGCATTTCAGTGTTTTCAAAATCGTTTCAAATTCAAATTCAAAATATTTTCAAAATATTTTATTTCTTCACTGTACATGGCATAATTCAGGGGCTGATGTTTCCTTTTAAGCTTGATAGGGCCTGTGTTAGAAAACATCGCTCTTCTTTACAATTAATAATTAAACATTGCTCTTACATTAACCTTAATAAACTAAGACTAAATTAACCTATGTGTTACTTTGTGTGAGTGCATGTCCGTGTATATATGCATGAAGTGTGTGTGAATGAGTGTTTGTGTATGTGTGTGTGTGTGTGCGTGTGTGTGTGTGTAAATGAGTGTTTGTGTTTGTGTGTGTGTGTGTGTGTGTGTGTGTGTGTGTTTGTGTGTGTGTGTGTGAGCGCACATATTTCTGTTCAATTTTGATTTCATTTAATTACAATATTATATCAACTAATACCTCGCTTTTATGTTTACTTATTTATTTATATATTTATTTCAAACTAGTAGTAATTGCTCAATCTCCTTATACGACTTAGTTTCGAGCCATTTTGTAATGGCTAATTTGCAATCATAAACTATTTTATTGTACTTATATATCAAGTTCTTTGTTAAGAGTGTTATACAGATATGAGGCCCTGTATTTGTACTGTCTACTAGCCGCAGTAGTTTTTATTTTTGGTACTAATGCAATTTTATAATATGTTCTTCTACCTGTAACCCTAGGTTTATATAGTAAATTTTTATGTTGTTTTATTACTGTGTAGAGTATATAGAGTTTTCTAACAGAAGTCAGCTTTGTCAGCTTATACAATTTTTCTGTGGAGTAAATTCTTTTTTTAAAATACATCATTTTGATCAAACCACGTTGAGCTCGTTCTATTTCAATAAATTTTGACTTAGCTGCACCACCCCAGACCGGAATACAGTATATAATAATAGACTCTACAAGAGAAACATAAATCCGTTTAAGAAGATCCCTAGTAGAGACCACGTTAACTGCCATATCAGCGCCTCTATTAGGTACGACGTATCTCAGTGTTTTGAAGATCCAGGTTAGTTTCCTGATTCTCATTAATACACGCTCGAGATGTGGGTACCAAGAGAGACGCTGGTCCAAGATGATACCTAGATATTTTGTTTTTTCAACCCTTTGTATGCGCGGGCATGTACAAGGTACGTAATAATTTGTAAGTTCTTTGTCACAGTTGTGGATTTGTATACTGAAGTCCTTATTAGGTTGTGTGTTTTTATAGTTAGTAAAACACAGAAAATTGGTCTTTACAGTATTCAACGAGAGTACATTATTACGTAACCATTTGCTTATTTGTTTAAGCCCTAATTCAACACTAATCCTGATCGAGTCCCATGTGTTCCCAGCAAAGACGACAGCAGTGTCATCCGCATAGGAAAAAATTTTAGCATTCATGACCAACATACTACATAAATCATTAATATATATGAGGAATAGTGTTGGCCCAAGAACACTACCTTGAGGCACCCCATATGTCACCCTAGAACTATCACCGGTGCAACTTTCTAACTTGACCTTTTGATTCCTGTCTGTTAGATGACTTGATAACAAGCGTAATGGGATTTCTCTTATGCCAATCGAAATTGCAATTAAAGTTTCCAATATTATTTAATAAAAAAATATGAAGAAGCAATCAATAACAATACCGTGCGTGCATTATAAAATGTAATTATATCATGACTTATATACATATTCAAAAATATTAATACTTAGGTATACTCACAACTTTAGTCCCCTTAGACGCGAATAAAAAATCAAGTATTTCATGCAAAACAATCATCCAAATTTTGCCACCTAGAACATTCAGACTTTACAAAATAAATTTCCCATATTAGTTCTACCGGGAATCGAACCAGGGACCTCTTCATCCAGCGCTCATAGTGCAAACCGAGTTGGCGAGGTCGCCAGAGTACATTGATGGTTTGCATAGCAAGCAATAATTTGAAGTCACCTAAAAGGTGTTCAAACTGTTGTTCTAACAATTATTTAGGCTGAAATTTATAAAACCAACTTTTCCTAAGTTTAAGCAAGAAACTGAAAACCTTAGAGCTTACTACATAATGTCTTGCTTAAATTTAGACAAAGTTCGTTTTCTACATACAAATAACTTGCTTAGTTCGCCATTTTTGCTCAGACCAAGTCAAATTTCGTTTTATAAAACTCAGCCATGGTGTTCATAGTTATTATTTAGGTAAATTAATGCAACTACAAACTTTTGTTAATATTTCATTATATGTTTCATTTGTAAAATTGTTCAAAACCTATCTTGTATCGTATAGTTTTCGTCTGCTGCTTTACATTGGTCATGAGTAGCAGTAGAGCTCCTTGTGAAAGAGTTCATCCAGGGAAGTACTACAACTTTACCTATTTCTGCCGTCATGCAGTAATGTGAGCACTACTGCCTTCCGGTTTTGAAGGATAAGAGTACTGGTGAAAGTACAGGCACATAGGACTGGTCAACTTATGTCTCAGAGTGACGGGCGCAGTGGCAGTGCCACACAGATCTGTAATTTAAAGCTCTGAGTGGAACGGCAACTGTTATGGACAGACGTATCGCTTAATTCCAAGACTCACGACTTGTTCGTCCCGTCACTTGATATCATTAAAAAAATCATTTCATAAAAAGATAACTGCTTTTTAAAACATTTATGTTAAAGGTGTTTTCTACTTTCATAATAGACGAATATGAATGGAATTTCATAAGATAACATATATACAATAAAAATGAGTCAGATAATTCAACTATTTATTTAACAAACTCCACTCCACATCTAGTGGCACCCGATTTGTTATAAATATTATAACAAATGTCAACACTTACACCGAAAGCTTACTGCACAATACCCCGAAATATATATTGTAAATACAATGACTGATAATGATGAAACATCAAAGCTTTATTATTATACAAAAGTATATGGCAGTGTCTGTAATGATATGCAAATACTTAATTATGTATTAATCAAAAACAATTCGATGGTGGTATATTTCAATTTTCATTACCGCTCGAGTCTTCAATTAAAATTCATAAGGCTCTATGACTTAATTACTTTGGAGTGTCTCGTAATACTTAAACATACCCCATCTTACAGTCTACTGTAAATCTCTAAACACTGCTTCATCCAAGCGTCTTGAGCACATAGCCAGTATCAGACAGCTCACGAAGCAGATGTTTTAGTGCCACCTGGAAAAATTAAAAATACGCTGTTATGAATATAAAAACAAGAATTAACGAAACAGGTGTAATGTAATCCTTTTCACTGTTTAACTATTTATAAATGTTACCGTCGTAGGAATCCGGATTTGTTAGGACCGATAAAAAATCGGGTATTTATGAATATTCTGAAGGACAGGTCTAATTTATTCATATATCATCTCGCTGTTATGTAACGTACAGTTTTATGTAATTCGATAATAGAAAACCGGTCTATATTATCTACTAAATTTTACTTCAAAGCCCGTAGACAATAGCAATATATTGGATCAAAAATAAGAGTGATATTTGCAAAATTCATTATATTGGTAGGAGTCATTGTTTAACGAAATATGCGTGCACGAAATATTATACAACATGCATGAAGTGACGTAGAAAATTACCGACATTAAATAATCAAGTAAACCAACCAAAATTAAAAAACCTAACAACTATCGACCCACGGTTCATTACAATGATCAGTGCAGTACAGTTTTATTTCTGCCTCACTTCAGCAGCTTGATTTTGATTGGCTCTCCCGATCGGAAACAGCGTCTTTTCCGAGTCGAGGCGCATAATTGCGATTCACAACTGACCGATCTGAAACATTTGACATTTCTAATCGGAACAATAATTAATTAGAAAGATATAGTAGGAATCAGGTTCATTTTCTCGCTCAGAAACCAATCCGATTTCGACAATAGTCGATCGGATCGCTTCCGATTTGAATTAAAATCAGGACTCGGAACTTTTTTTTGCGTTAAGAGCTTATAATCTAAGCGTTTAGGGTCTCCAACCTTCTCCAAGATCTTGGTTTTGCTCACCGTGTTTTACTTCCCAGTTATAATGATAAATAATCTGTACATGATTTATAAAAAGATATAAGCTCGTAAAGTAGGTAGGACCCGTGTATTTTTACTCACAAGTAGCATATGTTAATTACTACGACATTATTACTACGTAATTATGTTAGGCTATAATAATATTTACATCGATCGATTGATTCTACTTAAGACCTTCGACTATTGACATTTATTTGAATGGGTAATATTGAGCATACAAAATAAGCCGGTGAAATGAATAACTGTGTAAATGTAACTGTCACCATGACTTTACAAAAATAAGTAATGTCTGATAAAATATTTTGATTTAGACGTTACCCCACACCCTCGAAAATGTGTATGACACAAAAGTCGAAATGCGTGACATGATTACCACCATGAACTCACCGATGAACTTCTACGTTCCATGATGGACCATGGCTGAAAATGGACAAGCAGAAATGAACCTTATAAAACGCGTTTCGGTTATGAAACGCCATAGTAGCTAGTAATACAAAAACTTACGCAAACCTTTACAAACATTTTCAAACATTCCGTAAGCTATACGTACTCTAGTAATACATAAACACTTGGAATCTAGCAAATAGTCTCTAATAACAAAGCAATGAGTGGATATTTTGAACGAGTTTGCCAGCTTTACAACGAGCTCCCGTCCCGGTTTTTGTTAAGCGGCGCCGCTATGTTTGAATTCACAAAATTTTCTTTTTTGCAAAACAAAACTTATATTAACACAGTAGTAGCATTCAGAATTTTCTACAATATTTTACTAAAGTTCAAAAACGTATTTCTAACTGTTCTAGATTAGGTAATTGTACCTAACGCCTCTAACTCACACCTTCAAGGTAACTGTTTCTTTTTATTTGAACAGAATTAAAAAGGAAAAGTTGAAAGCCCCGAGCCGTTTAATTCCACAACGTAAAGGCACGTTTAAAAATTTTTTTTTCGTTAGCTGATAAGGGTATGAAAGGATTAGCAAACCCCGCGGTTAGAACAAGTCACCTGTTGTACCCGTAATGTTTAGCTGGCTGGATGTGGACTGTATGGACTGACTGTGGTTTTTTCTTAAGGGCAAGTGCGGCAGCTACCCCTGCTCCAGCTGCGCCCACCTTGGCAGCCTTCAGTCCTAAGGCACCTGTTGAAGAAATCATATTTACTAAAACATACAAATTTTAAGTCAAATGCGCATATACTTATAATGTAGTGGTAACATTAACATGTATACGTAAATTTAAAACAATAAATAAACTACCTCAACATCTTATTTAGCAAATGCACTAGTATATTTATTATTAAGAGCTAGACAGTAATTCGACAATATTTTAAATTCGAAGAGAAAATTCGAAATGTTCTAATATTCTAACAATTCTTTAATGATTTCGTGAACGAGCTTTAACTGATTATATATATGTACATCGGTACGAAAAAAAGTTTTTCAAACAATACTTATTCCTAATAATGTATAGGAAGCGTTCGAGCGACCTTAATTGTATGAATGCTTCCCACACATTTTTTTTAAATTATTTTTAATAGTGAAGACAAAGTGTTGTTAAACGTTAAACAAGGCGCTTTTCCGCGTTTTTATGTCTACATAAGAAGCAGCCGTTTTTACAATATTTGAAATAATCAATGTTACATATACCTCAAAGTTTCAAAGCTTTAACGAGCTTTGTGTACTAAAATTACATCATTATAATTTTTTTATAAAAAAGAACCAACTGTAAAATTTGTGAAATTACACCTATTTTTAAGTTTTATTAAAATCGGTTAACGAAAAATGGGTGAATTCCTATAGACCGGTTTCAGTTCCTATTTTGAATGGGACCACCATCGAAGTAATGATAATGATATGATAATGATGTCGATGTACCCCATTGTTTTAACAAACAAGAAATAATGAAATCAATTCAGAAATGACAGACTAATCACGTAACATACACACAAAAAGAACGTCGTATTAAAACCTCCTCCTTTTTTAAAGTCGGTTAAAATTGTTTTCAAAATAGATGTGATCATTTATTTCATAAGTATTTAATCAAGACAATTGCTGAACGGATTTGGCATTTAGATTGAATTTGGGAGATTCCCTCTGGGCCTTTTGGAGGGAAAAGTGTCGTTTTTATTTTGACTTTCAATTATTTTGTGAAATCTAGTTTAAAGTGGAATAGGATAGTGCTATTGTGCCTTAATCGAACATTATAACGCGAAATTATACGAATCTCGAACTAAAATACCCGAACCGGCCCGTTCTAAGGAATCCCGAGTCAATCCAAGCATGCCGCCTCAAATTGCCTATCCTCTTTGTGGCGGCCATATTTACAGAAACATAATTAAACTGAGACATGGCTCAAAGGGCTTGTATCCAAGCCAAAATTATTAATAAAAAAAAAGATTGAATTTGGTTGAATCTCCGGTTTTTCGTATATTACATAGTTAATAACACCAGAAACAGCATAGCATAATGTCCATGTATTGAATTGAACACATGTGTTGCGTTGTCCCAACGCCACACGGACAAAAACCATGTTTTAAACATTATTCATAACCATGACTTGCATTTACACTTGGTGAGTGAGATTATATGTGTTTCCAAAAGTGTGAATGCCATTCTAAATTGAACCAATTCTTCACATACAAAATATCACATCTTTACAAAAATGGCAAGTCATTGCCTTTACGAAACTCTACAGTAACTCGCCTTGGTAACATGTGAAATATTTGGTATAAATGACCTTGGAACTTCGAGTAAAAACGCAATAAAATATACCCTTATTATTTCGTGTATTTGTTTTCTTTTCTAGATACCATTAGCTATTGGGAAACCCGGCGATAGATACATTGCTTGACATATTTAGTACCAAAGCTGCTTACAAGAATCCTCTTATTACACTTTTTTCTTCAGTGTAACCTTTTGTATTATGGGATAATACGACTACCAGGCTTTGCCTTTTTCTTGGTACAGTTTTTTTAAATATAAATGACATCTTACCAAGAAGAAGTTTCTTTTTTAACAGCAGTAGCCCTCTCTTCATCCTAGGTGATCTCTCATGCGCAGGTGTGTCGTAAATGGATTCGTACGCTGCGTCATTTGGAATGTTTACCGCCTCCAATGCAGGGTACTTCTCGTAGTGCGTGTATGCAGCTACGGTAGCGATCAGGCAGGCGAGGACGACCAATGTAGAGGTTTGCATTGTTCTGTTCTGTTACAAAAGTAACAATTACGTAAATTACTTGAAGGTCGTATTACGCCTACAAATTACAAAGAAGTAGAACGTTGTGAATCTGTAAACGTAGCTAAATACTCCTTTAATAAACTTTACGCAACAATTCGATAAAATCCAATAAGCGAAACAATTAGTGATCGGGCGAAAACAACAAACCTACCTAAATCGACTGAGCTCACATTAAACCTTTTAATTGACTTTGGTCTACTAAAATGCGGACGCTTTGGACGCTCTATTGATTTTGCAATAATAACGAATATTGTTTCAAAATCAACTAGAACTTTAAAGCCGGGTCAGTGGATCGCAAAATAAACAATAAAATCAACGGTCTGTAAAATAAGAACCATTGGAAACGAAAGCTATGACATCAAACGATTTTTTCTTTCAATTTAAAACCAATAAACAAGACACGATAAAAATATTTGGAGGGAAAATTTCACTAAATTTTCAATAAAGTGTTGCAGCATTGCAGGGGAACGTTGAAACGGAAATTGAGACATTTCTATTTGGTTTTCGTTCAACATTTCCTAGCCATCTCCTTGCAATCCGGTTGCGGTTGGCGCGAGGAAAACATTTACTTCCTTACCTCTTGACTTGTACTTATTTCTTTTAAATAGAAAATTCATCGCAATACTATATATAGACCGTAAAATAAAGGAACCACGATACCAACAAGGTGAGTATAGTGTCTTATGATAACTAATTCACAACCGGTAAACCTATCTCCGACAAGGAGTTCTATTGCAATAATTATTATAATACCAATCTTTATTCTGGCAACGTGCATTATCCATAGTAAAGTTCACTAATATGTTGACACAGAAACGTTATGACTAGGAATCTTGAATTAAATTATGTAAATGCTCATTCACAGGTCATAACTGCAATTACCTACTATTCATTCGTCCGCGAAATTAATCGTGGTGTTTAACTTATTACTATTTATGTGAAAACGCAATAACTATAAAGTACCTTGTTAGTACTTGCACACAACACAACACTGCAGCAGTCACTGATTCACAGATGACAAAGAGCAGGTGAAGTATTCTTTTATAGACTGCAAACATTCGGGGTAGGGTGAGTAGTGTAGCCAGCGTGTGGATATGGCCGATGGACACGATACTCGTCGTGTTACAGGGTTCAAGGAAATTTTGAACAATGGCAACCAGTAGCCAATAGTCATCTTTATGTGTTCATTCACCGTTGATCGATAATTACATAGTCTTTTCGACGTCTCCTTGAAAATTCTTAATACAGTGTTGTTCATACCGGCTTCCATCTCGATTGACGTTGTCATTAGCACATTTTAACACCGAAATATTTTTGAAATAAATATCTAATATTCAATTATTTATTAAAAATGTATTCTTTGTTATTATAATTGTCGTAATGAAATAGATTGAAATTGAAATATCCAAATACAAATTAAAATTTTGGAACAATCTCAGCCGAAATATAATTTTCACAGTTTTGTTTCTTGGTAAACAAAATCTTGGTCTGTCATAAACACTTTTTTAAACATGCATATATTGGCGTTCTTTCATAAGTGTTTGGCAAAAAGCTTAAATGGAATAAATGAATTTATAACGACTAACCCAGTTACCCGGTCGCTAAAGTATAAATCATGTGAAATTTGCACGATTTGTGCTTATAATTCATTCGTTCTGCTTTGTTTCTCTTTTTTCTTTTCTGAACAATTTGTTGACACACGTTTGTTATGATATACGTAACAAATAACAATGGAACTCTATCAAATAATTAATTTACAATAAAATTAAGTTCTACAACTCTAGATTAAGTTCTATTATTTGCTTCGTTACGTAATTTAACATAGACATTACGTAGATCGCCTGTGAATTGGTTAATAATAATAATAACGCACACACTCAAATAAACCCCCGCTCTAGGGAAACCCTGTGTCGCGGAAACCCATTTTGCGAATTGGCCATTATTCTACTAAACTCCACACATAGACAACCACAAATTACACCCAAACTCACGAGAGAACTAAGCGCCATACAAATATTTCTCACGGTCCGGGAATCGAACCTGGGACCTCTGCGTGGCAGTCCGGCCATTGTAGTAACCGATGGCGACGATTCACGACGTCCGATTTGGACGCGGTTACTTTGATTACTTCCTTTAGGCGTGGAATTAGGACCTTAGTGAAAAAGTTAGTACAAGTATTTTGTGATTCATTCTAGTCGCGTATCCTTCAAATTGCGAAACTATCTCTAAATTAGAATCAACGTAGGTTGAACAAATAATAGAAGGCCGACCATTACCGGCTTCTAAGAACGTGATGAAATAGGAAAACATGGGTAACATTATTTGTGGGCTAAATACTTATTGACATAAATATTTAAGGGGCCGAATATTGTCGTCGACTTGGCGATATATAAGTTTATATGCTCTGTGATAAGGCCCTAATTTATTACCTGACCTCCTTTTAAGGGCTGTATGAAACCAAAACTGAGTTGAGTACATTTACTATAATATATAAATGTGAAATAAATAAACACCTTTCGATTGTGCACTATGAGCTTATGCCTACAGTATCATAAGCGCGAATATTAAGCGCATTAAATAAAAAGGTCTAATCTAAAATCTTGTCCTCCATTTATAGATAAATAATTAATTTAAATTACATATAATATATGAGACACCAAAAGTACTAGTAAATTTGGCGTAAATGGGTATTTCAGTAGCAGTAGAGCTCCTTGTGAAAGAGTTCGTCCAGTGAAGCAATGCCACCTTACCTATTTCCACCGCCAAGCCGTAGTGTGAGCATTACTGTGTTCCAGTTTCGAAGGGTAAGGGTCCTGGTGAAATTACAGGCACATGGGACTTGGCAACTTACGTCTCCGGGTGTCGGGCGCAGTGACAGTGCCCCTTAGATCTTTGCGATTTGGACAGGTGTGTCGCTTACCATTTTTACAATAATGCGCCTGATGCGCATTATTGAAAAAAAACGTATACACTTGTTCTATGGACGGATTCATTTTGTCTATTTCTACATATAAGCTCCTCGTGGCAAAAGTAGTATGATTTAATATACCCATAATACATACAAACTCAAATACATTGTTACGTCATATAATTAAAAACAAATAAACTCAAACTAACCTATTGACAGCAGTTTTATATATCACGAGTAAATCAGAAAAAATATAATACTTTTTTTTTCTAAAATACTTAACAGGATTTATTTTACTCATGCTTAAAATTTTTGTATACATCTTGAGTATAGGATGGCACAAAACATCGTTAAATACGTAATTAAGTTTCTTAAAGGTTAAACATGATGCAGATTCGAATTATTTACACCAACTTATTCATATCATGATTTCAATGCTAATACAAATTAGTTACAACCAAATGATCTCACCTAATCACGCTTGTTTAATCAAATCTAACTTTTTTAATCATATTTTCAATTGATTTCGGTACAAATATATTGCTATTTAGCAGAACACACTAAAAGTATATTATAAACTTTGTAATGTACAACTAATTGAAAAAAAATGATTACACAATAATTGCGGCTCATTGGTTATCATGAATAGTAACGCTCTAGTGCCCGCTTCCTGCTCGCGTCGAAGTTTCGTACACTAAAAAATATACAATGTAGCACATGCGAATGCGAAGATCTTGATATTACTCGTATAAAATGATAATTTACTAACTCTATTAAAGAAATAGGTATATTTATTGTCATAGATAAACTCTTCAGTCCAGTAAAATGTTAAACAAATATTACTACTTATTTATTTAACTAACTGAAAGTCAAGCGCAGTTCTGATCTTCTAATACCGACATACATATTTTTAAGAAATCTGTCATATAACTCCAATATAATGTTACATAGCTGTAATAGCGAGCATAGCTGTAATATCGCAAGGGACATTTTGTCGTAAGGGGAAATGTCCCTTATGACAAAATATCTCTCAGGACTATTCAAATTTCCACCGTCGATATAAGGGTAATGATGTTGCTGATGTATATAATTTTGAAATGTTCTAAGGCACATTTTGTGAAAAGGGACATTTTATATTACGACAAATGTGCCTTACGACATTTGAAATTTCCACCGTCGATGTTATAAATTCGAAAGTAACTCTGTCTGTTACGTTTTCACACCTAAACCTCTGAACCAAATTTGATGAATTTTGGTATAGAGATAGATGGGACCTAGGAAAAGGACATAGGCTACTTTCTGTTACAGAAATAAGTCTTAAAGGGGGTGAAATAGAGGATGAAAGTTTGTATAGAAAACCATTGATTTCTCAAGTAAGTAGTATTCTACGCAGATGAAGTCGCGGGCACCAGCTAGTTATTTATAATAGATTGCAAATGCAATCGTCAATTTCTGTAAAACTCGAAAAGCTCCAAAGCCAGGGTTCTGGAAAATAGTACTGTCACGACAAATGACATTCTGTTAGTCAATTTTTATACTCTCTTCAAACCGAGGATGGAAAAGATCTAACTTAAAAGCTAAAACTGCCATTTACATCAACACCAAAACGTTATTTGTTAAAGAAATGTATGTAATAAGTGTATAGTGAATGCTCTAAATACACCTAAAAATATTATTTCAACTCAAAACGCTTTACATTACATGTTAACTTTACACAAATCGATTTAAAACCTGAAATAAAATTAACTATAGACATCACTATTACCCAATGCGCACGCGCCGCGCGCCGCCGCCGCCGCCGGTGCGACCGCTCATGTAATTTGCAATTACGTCAAATTGCGTGGGCGAAGTGATATAAGGCTGTTACAGTTTGCTCTTTAGACAAACGGTGCACGCGTTCCTCCATACGAGACCTCGTCACGCGTGCCACCTACAAATTACTATACGTTAGGTAAATATTGCGTGAAAAATTGGTTAGGAGGTAATTTTCCACGTTATTCTTTGCAAATGATACATGCATTATGGCATTTACTATTGCGTTTTAATTGAATAATTACACATATATCCTTCCGTTTCGTTGTCTGTGGCTCAGAAATCATAATCTGTTAAACTAAAGTACTCACATTTAGCATATAATAACTATATTGTAAATATGTATATTGTATGTAAGTAAAAAAGCATTTTGTTAACTTAATACCGTTTTGCACTTAACTGAAGGGGGTATTACATTTTTAAAGGGACCACTCCAAAATTGCAAGAAAATATCCGTTGTGCCATAGGTACTATGTGCGCATCTTTTAATACTTTTTAATATTTTGCATTAATGTGCATTTTAATGTACCAATCTTTTTTATACCTATATCTCTATCTTCAATATTATGTTTTATAAGATTCTAAATATGCAATTAGTACAGTCAGAGCACATCAGGCTTTTACACTTCGATCTTTGCATCATTCTTATTATAATCGGCTTAGAGTTGTGTTTAAGTCCCAAAATATAAGTGCGTGCTACTGACCCCTGTACCTAAGTAAAAATAAGTGGAATCAACACTATAATTATTTATAAGATCTTAAGTTGCAATAACCACGTAAAGCGATTTTTTAAAATATAAATAACTACTGAGCATTTGGTTGCATACCTATCGAAAATATAATTTAAAACTCTTGTTTTCCATATTTTTTACAGTGGTCCAAAACATTAATTAAATTACTCACATCGTCCACATATAATGAATATATACGCACGAATATACGCGCGTACCTCATTTATATCTTTTTTATAGTAAAACAATACTTATCCCATATCACTTATCCCATAATTAAGCATGAGCAAAGTATATCTCGTTGATGTATTTTGTTTTGTAAACAAAACTGAACAGTATATTTTATTAAAATTAATCACAAACTGAATTACCTTGTTATAGAATAGTCATTCAAGTACAGTCAGCATCGCGCATTTCTGAACAGCTAACTTGCTAGCTTTTCATTATAGTAATATTCGTAATGGTATGTGTATACTTAAGTAAACAAACTGTGTGAAAGTGCAATGGAGTTCGCAAAGTGGCCACAAGCACGTGGACTGGCGAAGCAATGGGCCGTTGGGAGTAGCACCTAATAAAAGTAACTCGTCATTGGCTATGGGTTGAGTAAGCATAAAAAAGAAAATGTTCTGAAATAAGTCACTATAGATACTTATTTCTGTTGACATACTCGTAATGTTCACTAAAATCTACTTACGGGCAAAGAAGTACTCATACAAAATGCATTATTACCTGCTACTGTCTTTACTACATATATGGGCTGTTATTAACTTTATAATACAATACGTCAATCGTAATGGACACCTTATAAGCAAACCGCAAACCCGTGAATCAGGCGACCTTGTTTTTTACGATCTATAAAATTTTAAGGCATCCGTATTCAGTTACGGTAATTACACCAGCCCTTCCTGGTGTAGTAGTTCGTGCAATTACCTTACCTACCACACACTTGGGTATGTTGACTACTCATACTTTGGTACTTCAGTCTCATCATCTCGTCTCGTCTCGTCGTCTCGTCAATTCATCACGATTTATGTTAAAAATTTTCGGGTTTGATTGCCCAAAATTGACTCAATTCCTCTCAGTAGCATAAAACGGCCACGTATTTGTAGAATATTTTATAATGATCTTATTTCTACTTGTATATTTTGGAGACAAAACTTCAAATAAAAAACATATATGTAACTTCCGACACGCTTGGATTTGGAAAGAGTAAAAATGGAGGGGGTGGCTGGACCATAAAGGATGTAAAAAGGCTGGACAAACACAAACAAACACCAACGGCAACTTTCGACCGAGATCTTTACCATTCTGTTACAAACCCTTTTTTTTAACTAAAAGACACTAGAGTACTTTGTGTTAGAAGATCCTAAATAGTTATTTGTTATGCAAGGCTGCAAAGTTGTTGTTTGACGCGTCGCTATAACGAGGGAAATGGTAGATGAAAGAAAAACAGTTGAACTATATTAGTTTTATTCTTTCATCAAAAAATAATTTAATACAAAAAATTAGTTATCATTGTCAATTAATGTCAACAATAATAAAAATAAAATATACCAACGGATTTATATTACTTAAATAATGTACGACAAATCGCGTACTTGAACGTGTCATTATGTTTTTTTTCATCGAAAGAAAAGTTGGGTGCGATACTATGTTACTAGCGTACACCACAGTCCATTGTCCAGTCGAATTGCAAAACCCTTTTCCACGCTAGAGTGAAAAAAACGCTTTTGCACGCAGATTTCAAATGACAACGAAACTTTCCGAGAGGGAGAGGTGAACTAGTTATTTTTGATATACGTGCGGAAGTTAGTCATTATTCACGAGTCTCGAGGCTTCTTGGCCCGAGGCAGAGGCGAGGGTCAAGACGCGAAACAAGTGAAAATGACAAATCCGCACGTGTATCAAACGACGTTTTTTTAATACATTTGCGAAAAAACTACATTGAAAGTAAAATAAAACAGTATTTAAACAAAACTCATTTTCTGCTAGTAAATTAAAATAATGAAATACAACCACTGCAACCATTACTTAAAAGTCTATGGAAACCTAGTTCTGTGCTGTTTTTGTTTATTTTCTGTAATATCGGTCTGTAACCACGTCCAAGTCCTGGTACTTTTGTTTAAACTTCTTTAAGAACCCGTGCACGGTAGTGAGATACAATTTATCTGTAATACATAGAACAAATAAATAAATACATAAAAATCTCGACTGTCACCCATTCAGGGGTAGGCAGAGACTGTGGACCTCCACTCGATACGTTCATTATATAGTATTTGTAAATAAATATAAGTTTTAATGACGAATGACTTATGTACGTCACAAAGCACATAAATATTAAATAAATATACAACTTCTTTAGTTCTATGTTTAAGACTTAAAACAACAGTAAATTAAAAAAAAACTGGAAAAGTAAAAAGCACTAGTGCGAAAAATCCAACTTTCCGCACGATTTGTAGTGCGAAAAATACCACGTTTTGAGCAACTGTATTAAAAAATAATGAATAAAATGTTCTAATAAATATGTAATGTGTACCTATATGTAATTTTGGCCGGCCACAGGAAGCGGCCTCTTGGTCTAGGGGTATGATTCCTGCTTTGGGTGCAGGAGGTCCCGGGTTCAAATCCCGGAGGGGCCCTGTTTTTTTTTCTTAATCTAAAATACAATATCATTTTTATTTCCATGTTATTAAAATTGCCTTTGACTCCAATAATGACAGTAATGGTTGATTTGTAATTTTATGGGTTATATAAAATTAGATAATATTTTTTCTTCAATATAAACTTGTAAGCACATGTTACAAAATTATAAATTGTATGAAAAAACTAATGTACAGTTTTTAAATTCTGCCACATCTGTAACTACATGTTCGTTTTAATTAAGTAATTTATGTATTGTAAATCCATTACTTCAGTGTAAAAACAGCCGTGCCAACAAAGCCAACATACAACGCCATCTTGGTGAAAATGTTAGAATCAGAATTTTATTAACACAACAGGTTGATTCTTTTTTTATTCAAAAGATGACGCTAAAACGGAAAGAACGCCATCTAGTAAACTATTATAAAAATTCTTTGTTAGCAATTGAACGAACTAGTAGTTGACAATTTAACATAGGCAGCACTTGAATAGCGAAAACAGCTGTTCAATCAAAATTATGTTTTGTTTGAACGCTTTCTTCACGCATTCGTTGCTAACTTCACACCAGTCTGCCAGCCAGTGAGAAATTCGAGTTCGCGTGAGTTGTGTTGTGTCGATCGTTTGCTAATTTTATTTTTGTTGACAAATTTTATTGACTAGTGAACTTCTCTTTGTTCTTCGCTAGTGTGTGGTCACTAAAATACGAATAATATTGAGATAATTTCAAAAATTGTGTGAACAAATCCTTGTGTAGCTCTAATACCATTCCGTTCACAAAGGATAGAAAGGACGGGACTCTGTTGTTTTCCTCACGTCTGCACATTTCACCAACTACGAAGCAGAATGTAAGTGAAATGTTTACTAATATTAGCATTGCTGCAGGATTTGTGCTGTATAATCCTAGAAACAAGAATAGTGCGAAGGAACAAAGAGGTGGACTCCTTCATCGATTACATCCTCTGCCCTCATTTCTTTGCTCGAAAGGTTGCTGTATATTTTTGTTCCGAACGTTCGGGTAAAGAGGTTCCATTAAATTATCGTGACGTCCTGTCGCATAAAGAGTTATTGATTTTTGCCATTTACTTGCTAACACAGCTGATCGTGTGTTTCGTTGCAATTTGTCTATTCTAGGAGCAATTAAAAAGACATGGGGGATAAAACAAATTGCTTGAAGCATTATTGAAACATGGTGCTTTAGTTTTTGGCTTTACTAGGTAGTTTAAAGATAGGTATACTCTTTGTCCACTGTTTACACAATAATTATTTACATCTATTTTACTTTCATGGCTATTATCATTTTTTATTATTATAAATTGTATCTTTTACTAAGGTGCTTTACTTTTTCACCTCCATATTAATAATTTTTACATCAAAATGTATCTACTTACATACATATTTATTTTTCTTACTGATATATAAATTATTTTGTTATTTTTGCCCTTACCTTCTTTGTATTAAATTTAGAGCTTTTTTAAATTTCTAGCTTGTCAAGTTGATAAACTTATCAAATTTCTTTAATATAGTTAACTAGGTATATTATAGAAGAAACAAAAATCTAAATGATTAAATACTTACAGTATTTACTTACAATCAAAAACACACTTTGAATTTTTTTTAAATGCTGTATTTATCACATTAAATTTCATTCCACCAGATGAAAATTATAATTTCCTTCTCTTGATGTCTGTATATATACATACACTACCTATATTAATAGTCTTTCTGATTACAAGGGACACTGAAATTGATAAACCTAGAACACAAATTGGCTTAAATAATGTTGCATACAAACAAAAACTACAGACAACTTGGCTCATCGATTTTATGCCGTAGGTGAATAACACTGACACAAATGCAGGCAGACAGACAAACAAACATTTAACACCTCCACCTTGCTTGTCTGGTATTGAAAAGGGAGATTTATTTGCAGCATAAGCTTGTTACAATTTCTTCATAGACTTTCCCATTTGGTAATAATTTTTTTTTATATGTTGACAAAAGGAAAAACTGCAATAGTAAAACAGCAATATATAATGTAATTAATACTTATATTAATGTTTATTTACTTATAGTGAAACAGGATAAAGGAAAACAAATATAAAACATAACATTTGTTGAAGTTTCCATTATAGTATTTTTTTTTCCTTTCCAGTCTGCCATCGGCTTGTATTAATATGGAAACAAAAAATGTTACACTATAAAAATGTTTTTAATTGTTAGCCATAATGGCATAGCACCATAAAAATATGTTTTCGAATTGTTCGTGATTGTTTTGCATATTCTACTAATAATTCAAATAATGCCTTTGCATCCGGTGTTCAGCCTAAGAGTCAGGTAAATCAGTTTTATCGAAACATTTGCATCACAAGCGCAGAGCAGAAAGGCATAATTAGTAGGCCAGCAATGTTTCCGCGTTAGCAGAAAGCGGGCTCTTGCCAACTACTCATTCTCAATATACCTACCTACATAGTCCAGCTGCAGTTCAATTGGGTGTCAACTATCAAATACATCGTCAAAGTTCGTCTTCTACCCGTTATTATTTTATTCTTGGAATGAGTATCAATTGATCATACATTTTGTCACGTGGAAGCGAAACAAACTACATTGCATAGCTTGCGAAACTTCAAAAATTTTGATTTAAAATTGCGGCATTCCAAAACATTGTTGCAAATAACGTCCACGGTTGGTGATGGATTCGCCATGGCAATGTTACGTAGGTATGCAACACTATTCTCGTGTAGCCATTATAAAGCCATAAATGAGTTAATCGTGGTTTAGTAATTTAAATTCAGAGAGAGTTAATAAGGAGAAATTATACGTTCAAGTGCATAATATATGTAACCTTGATATTAATACCTAGATCTGCTTCAGGTATATACTGTTGTATCCGACAAACAAAACACCTCTTGTTTATTGTTGTCTCGCATACAGCAAATCTTGTTCTTGACCTACATGATCGCGCTTAATTCGCGTTAATTCACTTAGCTAGTCATCACTTTTAATGTCTGTAGTAGTTTAATGCGTATAACGAAAACGTCACGTGTGGGGTATGTTTATTTTTAAGCCTCCTGCATGTTTTCTGAGTACGTAACCTTTTACTAGTTATACGCGCAGAACTATACGATTTTAATTTGCAATTCAATATATTTCCAACCATATCAAAAGTCGTATGAAAAATAGTACTTAGTAAAAGAATTCTGCAATGAACTATTTGAATGTTAAATCAACCTCCCTTACTTTAGAATGGACTGCTCTCATCCTTCTTCTAAACGCTTCTTTTAAAACCATAAACAACGTCCTAGTTGTGGGCAGATCACGAGCGATAGCCGTGGTTCGAGCTCAGAGGGGCCGAAGCCTGACGCAAGTACGATTGCGCAAATGGGCCCAACCGAGCAGCGCCGGCACAGCTTGATACCAACTGCACGTTCTAGAAACGATATCGATCTAGGCTAGACAATATTGGTTTGCAACCTTTAGTAAACTTTAGATCCTAAACTGTTCGTGTGTGACTATAAACAACACACTTGTGCTTCTTCTTAATTGCTATTCTATAACGCCATAACCTTGATTGTATTATTTATGGGACACTACGCAATTGGCATATGTTATCCCAGAAAAAATATTCAAGCAAACGTGTACAGGAAATAGCCATGTGAGGAAAACTGGAACGGACGTGGGAGATCATTACATGTCGCGGTACTAGAACGTCCTCATAACTGTGACCTGTAATAGACGACAACGTGAAATGTATTTCAAAAAAATGTGTGCTTGACTCCAGTGTACATTGAGTTGGCGACTCTGAACTGACGTTATAACACGACGCCCTGTATCAATTTACAACACCCAACACTTAATTTGATAGACGAGGTCAACTGAGACGTGAATTGTTTTCAAGATAGCAATGTAAAATGTAACACATTACTGTGCTTCTGCCAGAGGTTAGTGACAGTTGTCGGTAGCGACCACATACAATACTTAACAATTTAGTACGACAAATTGTAGAGCGCAAACACGAAGAAGACGTACAATCTGCATACAAATATTTCACATTTTCATTAATTTTTATTGAAGTTCATGGTACCCTGCACTCATTTCCTTCTTGATGGGAAAGTATTGTAACATCGCGTGGCGAATCTCTTTTGACTACATTGTTTAAAGTAGGTATCTTCCTATTTTATTTTTATAACCATCCGCAAGTTTACATGTCTCGCTTTACATCACAATGTCATGACGCAAAGACCCGAACGTAACTCGAAATTACAGAATAAAATTAAATATTTACTCCTAACTCTAGTGTCACGAAAGCATACCTCTTTGAATAAGTTACTTGAGAAGCTAATTAACTGAGGTTAATGACATCTCGTTACTGTGGTTGATACTCCAATTTGAGCTGGGAAAATGTTATATACTTTACTATTTCTCAACCTACAAGATGCTCTCAATTAGGTTCAATAAAATAATGATATAGCTAACTGCAAAACTTATTACGGAACTATGGTTGCTGCGATTGGATGCGCTGCTCGTTGTTGTAGAAATTGAACAATTGACCGTGAAAAATATTTCTCAATAGTAAAACGTTGCACGATTCCTTAATTTATACTTTATCGTAACAAGTTATGGAACGTTGTGTACGTCGTTCAAGATAGAAAACGACGGTGTGGCCATTCATATTCACAACTTGGAATACAATGGATCGAACAAGGCCAGGTTAGCAACGCCACGTAGACCTGTTAGAACAGACACTTATTTGTTTTGCCTTCTCATTGTCCTCGGGCCAGCATTGTAAAGCTGCAAATGTTTACACCAATTATGTACAAAATATTATATTATAATAAATAATATAATATAATAATTGTAAAAACTTGTATTGCCCAAACTTTATAGAATTTACCCAGGTTGTAAGGGGGAAAAAAAGGTAAGGATCACAAAATCGAGACATTTTATAGGGTACTGCAAATTAACGTAAACCTTCCAACGCAGCATTCTTCAAAACGTTCCAGTTTGTCGAACAAGCACAGAACATAGAAGTAAAATCAATGTAAACATTGCGCGAAAACCGTGATTATTCGGCAGCCACCCCGCATCGCAGGGCTATCAACGAGCGACCTTGAAAGGTCGTTGATGGCTTTACACGAAGGTGGGTGTATTCCGCACCATGCGGACACAAGCCGCATAATAACATTAATGGATATTTACGAAATAGGCTAACAAACAGATGTTTCGGCTGAATTTTATGTATGATGTTTCATCTAACATTCACGAGCGCTCTAATTAAGTCTTCCATTACTTATTGCATTTTCAAATTCAACAGCGTCTGTTCAGTACCCATTGAATAAAAAAAATCGGAGCCGTAAAATAATGTTCCAAATGATATCACTCTATACCAATTAATTATAATGATTACAGCTCATTAGATTTAGCTTGGAACGTATTTAGTTATTTGGTAATTTTGTTTGGTAAATTAATTTCGTTCACTAAGACGATTTCTTATAAAGGTGTGGTGAAACCAGTGTGGTTGCGGGCTGACCGTGCTATATATACCTCAACTTTCATTCGCTTGTATTATCGATTTCCGTATTAAAAACACGTGCTTGACAGTCAATCTTTCGTGTGTTGATTCTTCATTAATATTGGATGAACTTAGGGCTTCTAAATTATTGCTTAACGTTTTTCTAAGGACTTTTCAGAGTAAATTGAACCCTTTCTGTTTCTGTAATTGAACCACAATGTAAAAGCGACAGTACAATAAACTAGCTTCATGCCTATTTTTTGAACTTGCAACTTTGGACTCAATGCAATTACATTCAGCAGTATAGTGCGTAGTACCTGTTTTTCATCATACGGA